ATCTTTTTAAAAAAAATAATAATTTTTGGTACGGAAAGTTCCAGCAATTTGCCTTAAGGCACGATGCCATGCACCACTAGTTCATTATCGAATTATCATTCATCGATGAACATAAACTTGAGACAATTTATACTAACAAGAGTCACGATATCGTGCGATTGTGTAGCGATGTCCATGTTCACTTGGAAATATAAATTAAAATTAGTTTCCATTTGAAAATATGCCCATCTCGGGCACTGCAGTGTGAAATGGCACTGGAAAATCTCTCATTCTAACTTCTACGAGTTGGAGTTTAACTCAGTTCACTGACCTGCCCTATTGAAACATATAAACAACAGCCAAATCATCAGAATAAAAATTGTAGATTGATTTTCAATTCTTTAACGTTTCAACACATGTGTGTCATTATTCGGTAAATCTAGATTACACAAAACACAAAATTTGAAACAATATTATTATTATTTTTTTAAATTAACAATTAAATAGTGTTAATGTTATTAAATTGTTTTTCTTAAGAAACATTATTATTTGAAAATTAGTGTTTTGGTTTTTCCTGATTTAGTGTAAGTAAAGTATGTATATTTATTATTGATTGTTTAAATGATTTTTAATAATTGTATTCATTGTGCATACAAAACAAATATTGTAATTCAGATTTAGTGAATGATGACACGCATCAAGAACGAAATGTAAATAAGGAATTAAAAATCAATTTTTAATTCGACGAATTGGCTTGATATATTCTATATATTAGGGAAGGTCAACAAACCATACCTCTAAAATGAATTCTGATGTCCCGTGAATTGATCCAAAGGTTTGAACTTTGAAAAATTCTATTTTGACCCATTTAGAGTGTCGTAGACCATATACCATATATTTATGTATTATATCTAAGAAATCAATAATTATTATTAGTTACTATAATATTTAACCAGATAGATGTAAAAATAAAATAAAAAAAACATATAACTCTCGCGGGGTTCGAGCACTCCGCCCAAAGTTTCTTATGGAAATAACATGGGCAGTGGCGTCGGAACCAAATTTTTGATGGGTGGGCTCGTTTTTTTTTTTTTTTTTTTAGATAGGCAGCCAGTGGTCTCGTTTTTTTATAGAGATATTAGCCCATATAATTTTTTGAGATTGATGGGTGGGCTGAGCCCCCCCATCAAAATTCATGGGTGGGCTCAAGCCCACACAGCCCACACGGTTCCGACGCCACTGAACATGGGTATTAAATTCCATTTGTTTTTTAGATTTTTATAACTTAGAAACAAGTATTTTGAGAATAACATTGTATTTGCTTTTATTGATCATAAATAAAAAAAATTACAACAAAAATTTGATATATTTTATAAAATAAAGTATTTACTTAGGAAGAAGAACTCAGAAACTTTGATTGGAGTGTGAACTATTTTAAAGTCCGCATATTAAAAACCACCCTAACATTAATATAATATTAGTTTTATACAAAAAATGTTGTGCGTCGCATATGTTTTATGATGAACCAATTTCTCATTTCAGATCGACTTAAACCTGAAGCAATTTGAAAACTGGCTAGATAATTACATCTCCTCTGTTATATAGGATCAACCAAATGTCGTTTCAATTTTATATAATTTAACTAATTAATTTATTATGATGATTATTATATATAATTAAATTGTTTATTCATATGTAACCTGTTATACAATGTTATTTTTTATAGTTTCGTTAAAGGATTATGAATGGGGGTCAGTGACCTTACTAAGTGATCCCGAGTCACTCATAGAAAGTATGTTTTATAATACTTTTTAATTCCATATAAGTATATCATATATAAAGACAAAATTATGCCTCAAAATTAGCATTATCATAATATATGTATATTTATATCAAACGTTTTGTATTAGAATTTTATAATCAAAAATCATATCTTAATTATTCAGGAAGAATATATGAAATTATATATTATTAAAAAAATAATACAACCCACTGTTGACAGTTATGAATTTTAATACATAAAACTTGAAATAGCATTATTAAAATTACATTGTTCAACCATTGAACCATTACATTTCATTTTATTTATTATAATGCTGAGAGGAAATATTTCAGCATTTATAAGTCTTTCAAAATATCACATTCCGTTAAAATTATGCATATATATCATAGTATAAGTAATATCGACATTTATTAATCACTACAATGTTTTAATTTACTTCAATTGGAATTTTATAAGAACATCCATAAGTAAATATTTATTACATATAGGCTAGAATTAAAGGATTTCTTTTTAACAGTGCATGTTAGTAATTGAAAAATAGAATATTACTTTTAAATACGTCTAACAAAAAGAATATATAGAACATAGCAACATAAAATAGAATAGACATGTAATAACGATAAAAGTATTTTAGAATTCATTCAAATATAGTAGAATAATTAAATTATAATTATTATAGAAACTTACATTCTACTACATACTATTTAAAAGGGAATTATTGTTAGATATCAATATTGCAAATTGCTATATAAATTTAGCAATCAATATCATATTATAACAAAATAACGTCTAATTAATTTAATATTGGACTAAAAAAAAACCCTTTGTCAGTCGATTCGATCAAAATTTCTTCAATTTTATCGAGCATGCCACAATAGCACCCATTGTTAATATTCAGTCTTTGCCTAATTTAACTTAAAAATAGTTAATACAGATAATCTATCAAATGTTTCTCAAGTTTTTTTGAGTTAAAATATATTTAATCGTGATAAATACATTGTATCAAGAAGAGGGTAATTAAAAATATATTTACCATTTCGCTGAGAAACATTGGATGATTCATCACATGCAAAACCAGATCACAAAATAGTAGGTATAAAGGTTTTGGCATATTTACATATACAATAAAATTTTATATTACATAGAATAAATTGAAACAGGACACAAATAGATTTCGAAGAACAGAAAAGTAAAATTGCATTGCATTATTTCAATCTATTTTGAAAATTATGCTTCACATTATATGCCATATGTCAATTTAATCTATTGTTTAAAATTGTAGTGCCCATACCAGAAAATTAACAGATAATAGATACTTCTTAACAATTCACATACTGATAACCCGTATAAAAATATTTAAAATATCAAAAATTTAACTACATATAAAATAGGAACATTCAGCTCAAATTCTTATAATAGCTTAAATTCAGTTATCAACAGAACAATATAAAAATTGTAAACTATATATTATTATCGAACCAGTGTGACATTTTAAAATCACTATAAACAACACACAGTAGAATCACGTTAATCCAAATTCATTTAGTTATTTGACTTGGGTAACATCACAATAACAGTGGTACCCCAACATACGAGTTTCATTCGTTCCGTAACCACGCTCGTATGTCCAATCGCTGGCATCTCGAAATAAGTTTTTCCATATAAATCATTGCAATACCATTATTTCGTTCTAACACATTAATTTAATTATTGTTGGTTCCTGTCCATACATAATATTCGTTGAACAACTACCATAAACAAGTTGTTTTAACTTTTTCGGGGAGATTTTCATTCACAAATCTTTAGAACCATTCCAATATTTTACAATAATTTTATTCTTTAATTCAAGATACATAGCCCTTTTCTTTAGACAACACATAGTTATAAAAGTAAGTAATATTTTGTAAAAAAAAACGCAAACTCAAGATTTATAGTTGTACAATCACTATTAATGCGTAGTCAAAATTTCAATCGTTAAAATAATGCTCAATTAATTTGCATGTGTAAATCGTTACTTAATAATTAATATTAATGTATAATTGTAATGTTATAAATGACTGACTATAAAATAATTTACTATCATAAATACTTCTATGATAAGAAAATCGTTGTTACAACTGGCTTTTTAACTTCCCGTAGGGTAAGTTATAGTAATCGCAAAAAAATCGAAAATGAAAATTTTTACATTTCTCGACGTTTCAAAGGTTTCTGAATATTTTGGCATACCTTAGAAAAAATGGATGTGTGTGTGTGTGTGTGTGTGCGTGTGTGTATGTATGTGCGGATACAAATTTTCGTCGACGATTTCGGGAACACCGATCAACCGATTTGAATAATTCAAAAAACATTCGATTTGTATTGATAAGGAGACGTGCTGATTAGTTTTTGGCAAAGTCAGGTCTAGCCATTCCGAAAATACGGGGCAAAAAGTGCCGAAAACGGTAACTCAGTTTTTAAGAGAACGGAGCGTCCGATTTTAATAATTTAAAAAACATATTAATAATATTGACAAGGTGAAGAACCGATCAAATTTTCATAAAGACAGGTCTAGCGGTTTAGGAGATCTAATGCAAAAAGTAAAAAAAAATCCCATTCGGCGGTCAAAAATGATCATTAGACATATGCACATCAAATTATCAGATATTTTATAGAGATTTTAACAATAAATATAATTTTGGTTTACATTCCTATGGGTTCCGTACCAATGTTTACGCGTTAGACGTCGACGCGGCCCTTACGCGGTTTGATATTTCGTCTTTATGCAGATAAAGCAGTACGATTGCTTTCAAAAAAAGTTTAGATCTTTCAAAATATGTCAAAATAAAGAAAACATTTTTTTTTTCAAAAAAAAAAAAATTGAGAAAAATAATTTTTTGTCAGATTTATAGTTTCTCAAAAATCTAATTTTTTCGAAGTAAAATTTTTTCAAAAAAGTTAATCCTTTAAATAATTTTTGGTACGGGAAGTTCCAGCAATTTGCCTTAAGGCACGATGCCTTAATTGCCTTAAGACAGAATTCCACTTACAGCTAGTTTTTGTTTTCATTTTGCCATTAACACTTTTCTAGAAAAACCTTACTAACTCAAAGTCGGTATCTTAAATTTTGCTCGTTTCTCGAAGCGACGAATCGCTCTTTTGTAGACTCATATCTCAAAACACTCGTATGAGGGGTCACTCGTAAGTCGGAGTACCACTGTATTTATCACAAGGCTTTATAAGAAGCACTGCTAATGAATAAAAAAATAATATTTTCTTCATCCGTTTTGAACATAAATCAAGTATAAATTTAAAAAAAAAATTCAATTTCAATTTTACCAAATCTTACCCAATCAAATACATTTATTCTGCCTCTTGAATTATATTGTATGGTATATAATTTGATAGTCATATTGTATTTTGATTTTTCTGGGATTAAAAAGAATTCTTATTCCAAATAGCTAAAAATTAATTGCCATGGCATTATTCCTTATAAAGTATTTGTCGGACTATCGCGAGTCTACTGTAACAATCACAGTTCGCATAAGAAAAATCATATAATACGGATTTTTCTACATCAGCTCTTATTCCTTATTGATATCTCTAGCTTTGGACGATAACATAAAACCACGAGGAGAAAAAGTGTCGCAAAATAAATTGTCTTTTTTATGAACCCTACGAACATGAGAACGCAGATTATCTCGTCTCGCACTTCGATAAATGCAGTGTGGACACAAGTGAGGTTTTTCACCTGTGTGCATTCTTCTATGTTGAATCAACTACAAATTGTAAAAGATATATAAAAATGAACGTTTTTTATATTAAAATAAAGATAATATTAATCCTTTTCATACAAGCTTGTATAAGTTGCAGAATTGTTAACAATCAACTGTATTTTCAGTTTTTTATTTAATTTATTTATATAATTAATTTATTATTATTTATTTATTATTTAATTCATTTTTATTATATATTTATTTATTTTTATTATTTTTAGTTTATATATAAGTATTTTTAAAATTCATTTTTTATTTGAATTTAATTTTTATTTTATTTAACAAATTTTGTATAATGTAAGTGTTTTTATATTAGAAGTACTTTTTTCAAACAAGTTTTTAGGTACTTTTATGATATGAGTATTTTTTTTAAACAAATTTTTAGGTATTTTTATGATATAAGTATTTTTTTATTTAAAAAATTAATATGTATTTTTATAATATACGTATTTTAGATATATTTTTAACAAATTAATAAGTATTGTTACAAATTTTTATTTTGTATAATCATATTTAATCGTATGCTTACCTTTTTGAGTTGTACGGTTCGAAAAACACAAATATCACAACAAAAATGACGATTATCCTTATGTTTTTGCATATGCTTTAACATTTCATTTTCACTTGTACGGTCCTTACCACAAATCACACAGGAGATTCTAGGTGTAAAACCTGTTTTTGTAGTATCATTTGAATCATTTGAATGTGCCCTGTAAAATACAAACGTAATTACTGTAATGTACTACTGTATCTTCACTTAATCACATATATTGCATAATTTTCAAAAAATCACACATGTATATATATATATATATATATATATATATATATTGTAGGAACCACCAATGACCCCAAAATACTGCCGACAATGCCAAACATGTATGTAAGTTCTTTCTGCTGCTAAACAAAGCTGTTACCTGTGCTTCGGAGACTTGATCAGTGAAACAGATAATGTCGCAGATGTATTTGTATTAAATTAATCATTATATTTAAAACTAATATTCCAAGAAGCAAAAAACAATATTCCAGGGATTGTGAGTAGAACTTAGATGAACATATTTATGATGATTTAAAAAAACATGATTTTTTAGAATATAAAAAAATTCTATTTGATTCATCTATAATTGAATAAATTGTATACAGTTTTTTTAATTATAAAAATATGTTTTTATTAACAGTAAAGTTAAAACAAAAGCGAAATATGTGTTGCAAATACCAAAATTTGTAGAACACCAAGGGAAAACCATTTTATACTAATTACATAATGATGCTACTAAATATCAATTATAATATTATTTTCATAATATAATATAATATAATATATAAAATAATATTTACCTGAGATGTCTGTAAAATGCTTTTTCAATCGTGCAGGTGTAAGGGCATAATGTACAACGATATTCTTCTCTTTCATATCTGACCTACAATGAAGAATTATCATTTAATATGAATCCATAAAAATTGTGCAGCACAAAAGTATTAAATCACCACAATCAATTTTATAAAAATAACAAACAGATTTATAAAATACCTTACATACCCTCTGCAAGGATAACCGGTCCTGACGCTTTGTTGAACTATTAGAATTTTCATTATAAAGTTTTCCATCAATGGTTGATTCATTTTGAACAAACGATCTTGTAGAAACCACAACTTCATTATTAAAATGCTTGACTTCGAGATGTCTTTGAAGCTCCTCATTGCTTTTCAGAACAGTCTGACACACTGTACATTCGAATGCATCATTTTTAGATAAATTACTTTCATTATAACCATCTTCGGCTTGTGTCTCATCTATTTCATTTTCAGAATTTGAAAATTCTTGTTGCTGATTAAAATGGTTCAACATCAAACTATATACTGGATTGAATTGTTGGTTTATAAAAGCAAAATTTTCAATCTTGAAATTGTTTAGTCCAAAATTATTTATGAAATCTGCAGCATTGTCATTATCAGTATTGGGTTCAGCCTGAGTTTCTCTTTGTTGTTGAGATATATTAGAATGACTGCTGGAATCATTTGATTCAAATTCACTTTGCTGCCCTTCATTTTCAGCATTTATTGTTCTAGAGGAATTTGTTTTGAATATTTCAGGCAGAGCTGAAATTTGAGCATTATGGAATGGAAATTGTGGAATTCTGTTTGCATACAAAGCTGGAGCATTGGAATAAGCAATTGTATTTGCAGACCATAAATTTCCTTGAATGTTCCATATTCCAAACTCCATCTGAAAGAAATAAAAAACACAGTTAGAAAAATGCAGAGATATTTATTCATATAATCTAGTTGGTATTTTATCTGAAACACTTTATTTTATGAAGAGTAATAATACAAAAAAACTACATTTTACTGTATTAATAAAAACAAAACCATAAATATTTTAGTAGTTAGTATTGTCTTCGAATAACTAGTATATAACTTTGAATTCTATTTGAATGTATATACATGAATATAATACTCATGCCAATTTTAACATTATTTACATAAAAGATACACATGTATAAAGAAGAAAATGATAATTTTATACTCTTACAAAAAACAACTTTGACTAACTTTGTTAAAAAAAACAACTTTGACTAACTATTCTATCCACATAAATGCTATATTATAATAAGAAATATATAAGAATTCAGGCTTTTCTCAATAGTAATGAGCTCATTTACCAATCATTTATTCAGAGAATTGTTATCTTCAGGAGACAAACTGTTTTGTTTATTTGATATACCAGTTGCATATCAATCAATTTTGTACGAAGTGAAGTAAAGTGATGTAATTAGACTAAAAAGAATTATTAGATTATAATAAGGTAACTAACTAACTAGAAAATTGAACCTCCTCATAACAAATTTGGATTTCATGATAATATATCAACATAACAAAATTCGGAATAATAATAAAAATTAATGTCATATTGATAATGCACTTTACATTACATTTGCTTATTAAAACTCCAATTTATTTCAACATAAAGAAGATTTAGAGACATTATCTATTTTAGCAAATGCAAACATGAGGAACAATAAATTATTTATTACACAATTTTCATTGCCACTATCCATTGCAGGTTCACAAATTTTGTTCACAAGACGTAACTGGCAAAAAAACTGATTATTGTAAGAGTCCTGTGATTATTGTAAGAGATTTTAATATAAATTTCTCAGAACGTAAAGCTGATGAAACCAAAACAGATGCATGCCACCTTTGGTGCAAAAAATATTCAAGAAAGAGAACTTAATTTTTTCATATCTTACTCTAGTTATAATCCAAATTGCAAATTTGCAAATTGCAAATTTCTTCACTAGAAAATCATCAAATCAATCAAAAGATTCCATCAACTGTGAATTGTTAATAAAGCAATGTATATAATAATGTTAACAATAAGAATATGATAACAATAATAATGTTAACAAGAAAGAAGCAATACGAGTTGACTCAAAATTAATTTCTATAGCCTTCTATTTCCATTTCCACATTAAAAAGTAGAGTAGAAAAGTTCTTATTCCACGAGAACAGACTCCAAGCACTATTATTTTGTAAATATAATTGTCTCAATGGCTTCAAATTTTGCACTAAACAGTGGTTACAGGTCTATGATAAAGCATTTGATTGTTTCCGTTCCTAAATATAAAGACATGCTTTTTAAAAAAAATGTTAAATATCATACAATATTTGAAAATTATCCTGGCATGAACCACCTTATTAATTACATTAGTTTTTATTAGATTTCAAAGATACCTTTACAGAATTCTATGTATCCACTTATTGACTCCTTGTTCAAACTAGATTTAACCAGTTAACTGTGACTGACGAATGTACTCATCATGAAAAAGAGGGGAAATGTTGTGTATTGACAAGTATACTTGCACAGAAATATTTAACCATTGGATATTAGATAGCAAAATACATAATATTCTCAAATTTCTAGATATTTAGAATATTTTGAGGCTATACTAAAGTAAATTGTTGAAAAGTGGCATTTTACCTCGATTGTGACAACGTATAGTGCACAATTCAATGAGAGCACCACAGTCAACTGGATAAATATTAATTGTGATATCCAAGTACTTGAATAAACAAATTTGGAAAAGTTGAAGAACTTTGTGTATTGACAAATATACTTGTCATGCATATAAATCTTTGACCATTGGATATTTAGATGGCAATTTTTGCTTAAAAAAACAAATTTCTAGATATTTAGAATGTTTTGAGGCTATACTAAAGTAAGTTGTTGTAAAGTGGTATTTTACCTCGATTATGATGACACATAGTTTTGTGCACAGTTCAATGGAAGGACCACAGTCAACTGGATAAATATTAATTGTGGTATTCAAATACTTAATTGAATAAACAATTTTTAAAAAGTGGAAGCATGTTGTGTTTTGACGAATATACTTGCATATATATGCAAATCTTTGACCATTGGATATTTTGATAGCATTTTTTGCATAAAAAAAACATAAAATATACTCAAATTTCTAGATATTTGAAATATTTTGAGGCTATACTAAAGTAAATTGTTGAAAAGTGGCATTTTACCTCGATTGTGACAACACATAAATTTGTGCACAGTTCAATGAGAGCACCACAATCCACTGAATAAATATTAATTGTGGTATTCGAGTACTTAATTGAATAAACAATTTTTAAAAAGTGGAAGCATGTTGTGTTTTGATGAATATACTTGTCAAGCATATAAATCTTTGACTATTGGATATATAGATGGCAATTTTTGTTAAAAAAAACATAAAATTTCTAGATATTAGAAGGCTATAATAAAGACACATAGTTTTGTCCACAGTTCAATGAGAGCACCCCAGACAACTGGTTAAATTTTAAGCGTGGTATTTAAGTGGTTAATTCAATAAACAAATTTAGATAGCATTAAAAGTTATGCACATCTGCAGAAAATTATATTATAAACAATTTACAAGCAATGTCATCAATAATCAGCAACTGTTTCTTATGATCCACACCACAAACACATTTTTGATTTTGAATGCAAACAACAAATAGTAATGGTAGTAATAGACTCACCTAACTAGTTATAACTTCAAAATTAATTACCACATTTATTAATTTATAGCATTTTCAGCAACTATTGATCTTTAAAATTCATTCTCCAGCATCATTCATAAACATTGTCATCTGCAATCATAAAATTCTATATAAGTTTTCTAGGAGTAATAATAACTTATAAATACATCAATTATTGTTCAAGCAACATTAAAATATTGCGTATGCATTTAAATAAACATAATACATACAAACTAAATATTCAGTATTTGGTTTATTTTCAAGAACTCATTGTCTGCACATAAATCATGACTAACAAAAAAAGCAAGAAAGAATACATGCGTAGTACAGTCGATAGAAATTTACAGATAAAAGTGCGATAATATTTATCGGTTTGTATAAACAGTTAGTACAATGGGCAATGGAATTAATTTAAAACATTTTTGATAACATTGAGATTGAATAGTCACGGCGAAAGACATTTCAGTGCAATATTTACATAGAAAATATAACCTACAAAAGGAATCGAGTAACTGACATTTGTGTTGAGGTAGGACCGGCAGTACGACTTCATTTCGGCGACGTGCATTTTTTATATATAAATAATTCCATAATAATCAATTATACGCCTAGACAAATTATACGTAAGTTGATAATTATTAATAATGATAAGTACCATCATTTATAATAAATGTATACACTAGATACAATATTCATATTGTTAGTTCATTTCAGTGCATCTTCATAATTACAAATATTAGGTTGTCAAATATCTCCCTTCCGCTTTTTTGCTATTGGTTTATAATACAAAAAGGCGGAAGGGAGATATTTGACAACCTATTATAATTGAAGAATTGTGAAGAACTTTTTATTTCACCAATGTCTTTTACAACAAAATTGAACTGATAATAATAATTCCATAATTCTATACCATTGACGTAAGTTAATGTACAACCTGGCAAAAATGTTATACTCCTGAAAGATTTTGAGAATCTTTTTAATAATATTCCATTTGTAGCTTTTTTTCAATCACAATATTTATTAATGAACATTAATTTCATTAATGGACAGTAACATAAATATAAATAAAATAAAGTACGAAATGAAGAGGATAGTATTTTCATTAAAAAGATATCCGTATTATGATGATTTAATAATAAAATTAATAAATAGAATTTGTGAATAATAAAAATAATACTAGAAAAACAATAAAATGGAATAAAAATAATAAGTTACAGATAATAATGAATATAACAAAATAACAATATTGAAAATAATAAGATCATAATAATAATAATAATATTAATGTTAGCGTTTACCAAGGGCTATTTATGAGATCGTTGGGAATTTTTCGTTTTAGCCTGGTTGGGCGCACTTCTGAAAATACTTTCTGTGCCAAGTAATTTGGGTGTTCGTCAATTTTTCTCTTATAGTTTTTTGATTTTTGTAGCTTAATATTCTTTTTATATCATAATTTTTTGATACAGAAAGTAATATTGTACTTATACGAATTATGGCTTATTGTAAATTTGCTTATATTTTCATAAACAGTCATAATAGCAAAATAATTTGTCATCTATAGACAATCTGTGTGTACGAATGTCTCCTATAGACGACATTCAGTGTGACGAATTTTGCTTCAATTTTTATCCCTCTGAGATTATTGAGAATACTAATTTGTTGTGGTTTTTAGTTTTTTAGCAAATGCGGTTTACTGGCTTGTACATCAGTGTCGCTTTTGCTGAAAACACTCTCGTAGCCACAGAGTTAATTATTAATATCATTTTTGGTACTCTGCCCAAAAGCATGTCAATAGTGTGCAAGAACCACATATCATTGATTTCCTTTCTTTTTCTTGCTTATTACTATTCATATTTTTTAAGTCTCTTTTCTATGCTTTAGTTTTCAATTCCCAGTATTATCTCCTCTCGAGTCAGTCATCTATCATCTACATTCTTCTTCTTCCTCTTTATGCATCTTTTATCTAATTTTTCATTTTCTTTTATAGCAAGATGTACGACGGTGATAAAAATAAATCTAAAAGAAATCATCATCCATTGTTTAAAAAGTTATTAGAAGCTGATGTGCAAATATCAAAGCAGCTTGTACAAGTATGCTTAAAAGTTTTACCACTTCGATCATTAAAAATTCATTACAAACTTCTAGAGGTAAGTATTCAGATTCAAATTGATATTAGATATATTAAAGTGAATGATATACTTTGATTTTCATTTTCCAATTTACTAAAAGATGTAACTAACTTTTAGATGGAAAACGTCTCATGAAATATGTTAAACTATATGTACTGTTATTTAAACAAGAACTATCTTGAATTTTAATTAATACTAGGTCTCTTGCCATGGCATTTTGTGGCTAGGAGCATGGCTAGCGTTTACGTGGCTTGTGAGCAATCCCTCTTTATACCAAATGCAAGTTAATATGTTCATAGGCAAGTTTCAATTAAATCATATTTCAAATCGATGGTCATATAAAGTAATTGAATTTCTATACTTGTTATTGCAGGTCTTTTAATTGATATTGTAATAGTAGCAGTTTTAAAAGCTTTCACAAGAAGAAGACGTCCAAATTCAAAGCATGACTCCTTAGATTTTGGTCCTGACAAATACAGGTAATGGTACCAGAATTGATTCAGCAGCCAAATGATATAAAAAAACTTAGAATGAGCAACCTTCTAAGTTTTTAGAAAGTAAATAGACAAGTGTTCGAGCTTGCAACCATTACCTATATTCTGAATGAATAATTGAATTGAATGAATAACTCTGTGAAGGAGAAGTTTGTCGACGATTTCGGGAACGCCGATCAACCGATTTGAATAATTTAAAAAACATTCGATTCGTATTGATAAGGAGACGTGCTGATTAGTTTTTGGCGAAGGCGGGTCTAGCCGTTCCGAAGATATGGGGCAAAAAGTGCCAAAAACAGTAACTCAGTTTTTAAGAGAACGACGGAGCGTCCGATTTTAATAATTAAAAAAAACATTTTACTTGTTTTGACAAGATGAAAAAACTGATTTAATTTTTGGGAAGCAAGCCCAGCGGTTATGGACTCTTAATAAAAATAAGTTAAAAAAATGTCATTTTGCAGTCAAAAATGTTTATTGGATATATGTACTTCAAATTATCAGATATTTTATAGAGATTTTAATAATGTGTACATATTTTGTGTAAATTTTTTTGGGTTCCATACCAAGATTTTTAATTAAAGTACGGGAAGTTTCAGCAATTTGCCTTAAGGCATGGTCACATGACCCCAATAGTTTTTATATTATTTTAACGTTTTTGATTTATTTTTTTGGAAGTATTATTTTGAAAGCAGCTGTACGTGGTATTTCATTGGTAGGGTTGGCAGCTACTGCTTACAGTTTACTTTCACACTCAAATAAAATACATTTATTGAACCCGAAATGTATAGAATGAAATGCGTTAAACAAATTAATTTAATAGATAGATATCAATTGTAAACCATATTGATTATTTTTTAGTGAACATGGTAACTTTATTTTCGAAATACCAGTTGAACATTTCACTAAAATATCTAAATCTCAATTCTTATTGATTAAGTTGATTATTTACATGTACCGGGAAATTAATGCAACTTGCTTAAGGTGAAATGCTTTTTACAATTGGTGTTTTATACAGTTGCTAGAAGCTGATATTTGTCCTTGCCTAATTACAAAATAAATTATGAGATTTTTTTTTATTAATTATTCATTGAGAAAATATAACCTTACGTAATATTATATTTTCAGTTTTCCCTCTGGTCATGCTTCAAGAGCAGCATTTATCACCTTCTTCTTTTTAAATCTGTACCCTCTAAGTATGTTTTTCTGGCCACCGATTCTTGCATGGAGCACTGCAGTCTGTCTATCGAGATTATTAATGGAACGTCATCATTTGCTTGATATTTTATGCGGTGTTCTATTAGGACTAGTTGAAGGAATGCTGATGGCTCTGATGTGGTGTGAGCAAGAAACAGCAGCTAGTTTACTATCATACATAACTGACGAGAAAGTAGAAGGAGCAGAATATCATGTTTAATTACCATGTTTTAGAATTTGTTTTAAGGAGGTAGTCTGGTCTAGAGGCATTAATTTTATGTGATTTTTGTAAGGTTGCACTAAAAAGACAAACAATATTTTTACTACATTTTTTTTCTCAAGTTATTATTTATTGTTTTGAGAATATAAAATATTAATATAAATTATAAATAGATATATACTTTCAATTCTATAAGGTGATGAATGGGAAATCTTAAAAAATTGGCACCTGACGATACCCTTACCTGACCATACATGATTTTAGTTCTTCATATAATACGAAGAAGAAAAAAGTGTATGTTAATAATCTAGAATAATGTCGGTATCGTATGAGCTACAGACAAGATAAAATAATTGTTTTACACAAAATAATGACTGGTCTGAAGAAAAATTTTATTTTCTTCAGACCCCATTTTATTTTCTTCAAACACCATTTTTTGCTATTCGAATTTTTTTTAAATAGTTAAAATCGGAATTTATAGATGATTAGAATAGTTCATACTAAAGAAGTAAAAGTTGAGAAATCATGAGTGTTATCCTATCGAATAAGTCAGTTTTGAGAAAAACGCATTTAAAGTTTCACATAGGAAGGAATCAGATAAAGATTATGGTGGTTAAACAGCTATATCTATGAAAATAATTTAAATTTTGAAAAATGTTTTTGTACGTATATGACTTTGAAATATCTAAAATCTAAAATGCGAAAAATCGATTTTTTAAAAATTCTAGACCAGAATACCACCTTAAATAAAACTGAATGATTACAAAATGTACATTATTTTTATTTGATAGAAGATAATACAATAAATTAGCCTAGCAGTCTCTTCTGTATCACATCTATTATTTCAGGTAAATCTTCTATAAATTTATTAACAAAAATTAACAATCAACTTAAAAATATAGTTGAATGCATCATAGATCACTCGTCCAATTTCAGAAAAATTTTGTTCGGTCAAATAAATTGAGTAGAAGTCAAAGACTTTTGTCGCTGTGAAGTTGTACGCCGATCGTATATTAAGAAGAATATGTCGCGTTTTAGAAATAGATTCTCCTGTGCCTTTATTAAGTTCTTCGTCTAACTCAAATAAAGTTTTAGTAGAATTCCATGCATTTTCAATGTACCCCAGAGCAATAGCAAATTTGGGTTTATCGTATTTGTGTAATAAAAAGCCAGCTAAGAAACTGACAAATGACACGGTCAGCAAGGAGAAAAAGATGAGAGATAAAAATGATTTCTTTTTGGAATAGGTTTCTTTGATTCTGCCATTTTGTGTACTACCAGCATTCATTTTGACGCTACTGCTGATTTGAGTATCTTCAGAATCTTTTTGTTTTTTTTCTGCTTTTGTAGCCTTCTTTGTATTTTTTTGCTGCCCCTTTTTATTTTGCAACTGCTGCGCCTCCCTTATATCCAAATCACGCTTCCTCTGTGCATTGCGCCTCTCCACTTCTTTATCTAACTGAACTTGCATGTTGGTTAGAAATGAGACCTAATGAAATTATATAAAAAACTTTTATAAATTCAAACACAAAAATTAATTTCAATTACTTTAATCATGGCTTACTATTTTCTTTGCACATGATTGGCATTGTTTCGAATCTAAACATGGTCCCGCTATTTCATTTATTGCGGGAACCAGAGGATTATTCTTTAAGTCCAACCATTTAAGAAATTTACATTGACCTAGGCTCAGTGGTAAGTGCTGGAGTTTGTTGTTATAAAGATCCAGCTCGCGCAAATTCTTTAATTCTCCAAAGTTATCAGGTAACGTTTGCAAGTTGTTCTGGCTAAGGTCAAGCTTTACTAGGCGGGCCAAAGAGGTTGCAAATGTATCCTAAAATAATACATTTTTTATATTATTGAAATTATATTGATTTATACAAAATATATATGGTTTATACAAAAATATATGGAAATGCCCATAATAATATAGTACAGCGGTACACCAACATACAAATGTTTCGAGATACGAGCCGCCAAAAGAGCGATTTGTAGATTCGATATACGAGCTTTGAACGAGCAACAGTTTTCTAGAAAAATGTTATTGGCAAATTGAAAATATTAAAAAATTCATTAGTTGTAACAATCATTTTCCTACCATAGAAATATTTTGGCCGTTTTATTATAGTAAATTATTTTATAGTTAGTGATTTCAATTATATATCTTGATAATATTTTAGTAGTAACGATTTAACTACACGAATATATCGAGTATCGATATTTCACTATACATTAATAGTGATAGTACATGCAATAGTTATACACTGGTTTTTGAAGCAAAATTTCTTTAGGCGAAACTTGGGTGTAAATCTTTGAGAATGCAACAAAAATTGCGTTACGCCCGAACTGTATATCATTCGCTCTCGATGAAATCATTTCAATACGGGTCAATTGAGATTAGTTCATTTCTAAATGCCAATTACAATGACAAACCGATCATGTCATATTAGAAATATGACTTTAATTACATTGTTTTTATACTATACTATACATACTATACATATTTTTAATGATATTATAAATATATAATTTATAATTTATTATTATATAAATGTGTATAATGATTGGCACTAATAAATATGTGCATCACGAATGTTACCATATTACTAATAAACATCATTCAAAATTGTTATATGATGTATTTATTTTTACTTAAAGGCCAACTTGTACAGTAGCAAATAAGTTTTACTTCAATCGCGTGTGAACCTTACGCGCACTCTTTTTTTGTTTTTTGTACTTTTACAAAATATTATTTACTTTTATAACTATAGGTCTAAAGCAGAGGGCTTTGTATCTTGAATTAAAGCTTGGAATTATTGAAAAATACGAGGATGAAGAAGATGTACAAGTGTAACACATCATAGATTTTTACTTTGTAAAAATACAAATAATTGATAAAAGGTATAATTCCAGCTAAAGGCCTTACAATAATTTATAAGCAGCTTTCTGAGGTGGATAAAAATCACTCCGAGAAAGTTGTAACAATTCCAACATGAGAGTTGTTCAACAAAAGATGTCAAACCCATTTCCGCAAAAATTATAAATGGACAGAAAAAAAAACAAAAACCACAGTGATGGAACAAATTATTTACATTTCAATGCATTCATATAAGAAAAATTGCTTTGAGACACGAGCGATTTGACATACAAATTAAGCTCGTACGTCGGGGTATGACTGTATTATTTTATAAATAAATTATTAGTTAATAAATAATTTTTATAAATAAATTAATAATCATGACTGATAATATTAGAGCTTGATAATGATAATGCTAAATAAGTTACCGAATTTAATAAAATTACTGAACACGACAAATTCAGACAAGCTAATAAAAAAACACCTGTAATATTAATATTTCAATTATGTGGTATAAATTACCACTTAGTATAAATTATTTTATTATGGTAAGCATATATATATATATAAATATTACCGGCAATGAGATAATTTTATTGTTCGATAGATCCACGATTGTGACCCTCTTAATAGCAGCCTGAAAGAATAAAAGAATAAACAATATTAATTATTGTTATATTATTTTAATTTCATGACGTTATCCTATTTACTCACAATGTTTTTCACAGGTACGTCTTGAATATCACACATGCTCAAATCCAGTTCGTTGTCATTAACTTTATCCTTAAGATTGATTTTAGGCATGGTTGAAGCTTGAATGCAGGAAAACTCAATGAAAATTATATTAAAACACTGACTACAAAAATCGTTCACAAAACTTAATAAAAACAAAAGAGTTTTCTGTCGTAACCTCCTATAATCATACTTGTGACGTTGACAGTTTTATTTACAAATATGCACAAGTTGACAGGTAAACAAAATCGAGTGTGCCCCGATACGAATCAAGTATTTTAGTATTGCATGAGATGAAATTTTAACGGTTGTCCCATAGATAAAAAAAAAGGAAATATGGATTGTCCTACAGATAACGGATAAGCGATGGATATATTCTTTTTTTATCTATGGATAAGCAGTCAGTTAGCAATTATTATTTGAAATCTTAAATTGTACAATCACATTAATATGGTTCATAGATTCAAACATAAAACTAGAGGTGTATGGCATTGTGCCTTAAGGCAAATTGCTGGAACTTTCCGTACCGTAACGAAATATGTTCGAGAAATATTAAATGTTTTTAAACAGATTATTATAAATTCTGTAATGTCGTCTATTAGCTAATATTAGCTAATATTTATAAGAATTATATAAACTGAATTGCAAAGTTGAAATTATTCACTTAAAGTATATAAGTGAGCTTTAAAACTTTAACCAAAATTAAAATCTTAATTATTTGCGATATTCAAAAAAATAAAATAAAAATAAATAAATAAAAAAAAATGAAATAATATTTTTTTGCCAAAAGTAATTATTTCATCAACACAAGCAGAAAGTTTTTCGAATCATTCCAATCAGATACTTATTTCTCTCATAAACTGCAGTTTTTTGCACATTTAGCTCTGTATCTTTGAAATGACTGGACCTGCCTTTGCCAAAAACTAATTACTGCTTCTCCCAATCATTACAAATTGAATGTTTTTAGATGATTCAAATCGGATGCTCCGTTCTCTTAAAAACTTGATTTTTATTTTCTGCACTCTTTGCTCTATATCTCCGTAAATGCTGGACTTGCTTTTGCCAAAAAGTAATCCATTGCAAATAAAATTGAATAATATTATAGTGACCATACATCCCGATTTGGCCGGGACAGTCCCGGATTATTCTAAAAGCAATATTTGTCATTATCTTAAAAAAATATGGTCACTTTGATATTATAGCTTACATAAAAATAGTATATATAATGTAATAAATATAGTATATTGCATGATATAATAAAAGATAGTAAAAATAGTATAAAATGTAAAAAAAGGTTACATGTTCTAAATAAGCTCTAAACCAAAAACAAAACTAACAACAAAAAAAAGTTAATATCTGATAACGTGGGCATTTATCTTCCAAAGACGACGTTCCCCGATACAAGCCATGTGTGCTCGATTTATCATACATCTTTTGCCCCCCACTTTAGTATAGTATTGTTAAAAAATTCCATGCATTGAAAGTGTAAATATTTCATCAATATAATCGACAAATGATTTACCTTTGTATAATATTCCACTTTCTTGTCTTTCAGTTTCTAATTACTATATACTATATAATAATCTATCTAATATATTCAGTTGATTCTATTGGAATACAAAATGTATTACAGAACAATTCCATTTGATACGAGACAATTTTGCATTTATAGTATCTACAAAAATTGAGTTTCAATCTAGAAAGTTATTGATATAGATCATAATGACAAAACTGTTTTGTACAATGTTGCAACATTGTAGATTTTTTTAATTTTTAAATATTCTAATATTGTTTATAAAAATAATTAATAATTTTTTCATCTCACTCTTTTATATGATTTTATATGACAATATTTATGGTGTAGGTTTTGGTTCTTGTGGCTTATCTAATTCCAAGAGTTCCTGGATCTTTGTCTCTATGCCCTGACATAGCTTCAAACTGGTGAGTAAATTTGATTGATGCTGTAGTTTTTTCATTATCGACTGTTGCTGTATCATAGCGGTCATTGAAGCTTTAACAGTTTTTTTTTGTTCGTTTAAGTGTTTCTCAAGTTCTTCAATTTCTTGTATATTAAAAGTTTCTTGATTCTATATGTATATAAAGTGTCATTATTGGAAATTCATGTGCTAAATTATGCAAAAAACAATTTATAGTAACGATTACCTCATATTTTTGCTGGTCGTTCGTCAATTGTAAGGCTGCACAAGACTCTTTGACACTCTGCATTTGATCATTACATAGTTTATCTGATGCTAAACATTTTTCAAGTTCACGATTAAGCCTATGATATTCGTTTTTAATTCTTGTGTATTTTGCATCAATTTCCTGTAAAATAATTCAATTAATTAGAATTTATAGAAATATTTCATTTTGAAATTTAACTCATATTGAAGTAGGGGTACACAAATTTCCTTAAAAGTATTCTATATTTGTTAATTTTGTCAATCATGTCTTAATTATGTATAAGTATTCAATTGTCAATAGAAGAAGTGGTGTATGACTTCGTTCCTTAAGGCATATAGGTGGAACTTTTCACACAGAATGAAATATTTGATAAATATTAATTGGTTTCAAATATATTGACAATTACTATAACTTTTGCTACAGGAAGTTAAATAGTTCTTGATGTTTACCTGCCAATTCTGTACATTAAAACTTGTTGTATTTTCAGTTCCATCATTAATTGGTTCTTGCTGGACAACATCAGGAATACATAACTTTGCATCTTCATTCTCTTTTGGTAATTTCTGTAATTCTTCGAGTTCGTTGTTTTCTCCTTTAGATTCGTTTTCATTAATGGAGGGAAACAACTCTTGTTCCTAGTAAAATTATTATAATATATTAATCATTATTTTATCTAATTAGCTGATATCATATGTCTTTGTAAAAATTGGTGTTAAAAATTTTATAACATGATGTACAAAAAATCTGTGCTCGAGTTCAGAATTCAATTTCCAAAAATGTTTGCATTTTTACTTTTTCATTAATGCACCTTTATCTATTTTGGCAAATTGGAGTGAAAATTATTAATTACTTTTTATTTATCTAATTATAATTTTTAATATCCAGTAAGTAATTTATGGCTATTATTGGCTATTTGCTCATTGTTTAACTGATGTAATTTATTTACTTATTGTATAAATAACATAAATCTATCAAATTGAAGTAGGGTTACACAAATTTCCTTAAAAGTATTCTATTTGTTAATTTAGTCAATCATGTCTCTATTATGTGTAAGTATTCAATTGTCAATATAAATAGTGGTGTATGGCATTGTGACTTAAAGCAAATAGCTGAAATTTTTCATACCGAATAAAATATTTAATGAAAATTAATTGTTTTCAAATATATTGACGATTACTGTAACTTGTCCTATGGGAAGTTAAATACTTCTTGATGTTTACCTGCCAGTTCTTTATATTAAAACTTGTTGTATTTTCAGTTCCATCATTAATTGGTTCTTGCTGGACAACATCAGGAATACATAACTTTGCATCTTCATTCTCTTTTGGTAATTTCTGTAAATCTTCGAGTTCATTTTTTTCTCCTTTCATTTCTATCGATTCATTTTTATCGATGGTGGGTGACAACTCTTGTTCCTAGTAAAATTATTATTAATCATTATTTTATCTAATTATTTGATATCTTATGTCTTTGTAAACATTGGTGTTAAAAATTTTATAACATGATGTACAAAATATCTGTGTTCGAGTTCAGAATTCAATTGCCAAAAATGTTTGCATTTTTACTTTTTCATTTATGTACCTTTATCTATTTTGGCAAATTGGAGTGAGAATTATTAATTACTTTTTATATATCTAATTATAATTTTTAATATCAGTAATTTATGGCTATTATTGGCTATTTGCTCATTGTTTAACTGATGTGATTTGTATACTTATCGTATAATAAATAAGATAAATATATCGATTGCCACTTCAAAAATTTCTGATTTTGAAAAAAGACTTATATTTATTACTAAGAGATGTAATTATTTGTAACAGTACCGATTTATGACAGAGTGTAGTACTTGAGGGTAAAAAGCTCAATGTAACACTCTTAAAGTGGAAATTGCATTATATAATATAATACATATTTTCAAATTGAAAAAATTGAAAAATCTAACATGTCATTTTATGTAAAGTTAACCTGTTTATTTTGTATTCATAATTATAAATATATACCTCTTGGTGTTCAAGAACTTTCTTCGCAGTATCTCCATTTTGCGCTTGCATTTTATCGCATTTTTCTTCTTGTAAAAACTCCTTTGAATTATTCATTTCGAATTCTATATATCTGTTGAATTCAGATTACTATGAATTTAAAGTTATTCACTAATTTATACTCGTCACTATGAAAACTGTTTATTACAAACGATTCATTAGCCAGTTGGGTAATAATGAACTGATTTGCCGAAATTCTAATTCATGAACGGTAATCTTCGAACCATAGATAAAAGAAGAGTATAGTCATAGAGTATAGTCTTCGAACAAATGTCTGTAACCCGGATTTAGTTAACCCTCCGTCGGTCGGATATTTTTTCACCTTCGAACGGTCGGAAAGGTCTGGCTGGACCACCATTCATTTTACATGCATTTATATGGAATAAATGAGTTTTTGGTGTCTTATATATTAACGATTATTAGTAGTGAATATTTATAGTTTAGATTTTTTCTTCTTCTTACCGTCTTTTGCATGTGCTGAGCTTGCTTATAATAAAAATATTACATATTATATTATATAAAAAAATCAAAAAATATAAAAAAATCGTTGCTATTTTGTTAATTTTTCTGTTTTATATCAATGAAAAACAATATTTATTCTTTTTCGGCGCCTTTGAAATGAATGTGAAATTCAAATGAAAACGAAATGAGGTGCGTCGCCTTTGAAATGAGCTGTAAAACTCAAAGTGAAAATATAATTTCACTATAGGTTTGCCAAAAAAAAAAATTCGAACGCAGTACTAGTAGAAAAATTGTTGATAATGTGTGCATTACTCATCCGATTTTCAGTGTTTGCGATTACCAATAAGTTTGGTAGATTTTCAAGGAACTCTCGTCCATGAAAATACTAACATTCATGTTACAACACATAGCAAAGAATATATACAACGCAATTTGAATAGAAAATACCATGAAAAAAGACAAAATACTGGTTTACATATATCAAAAAGCGTATATTTCATACAAAATGTATGGGTAGTCTAGACAGACCTTTCCGACCGTTCAAAGTATAAAAAAGTTAATATCCTTATAATTATCCTTCTGTACATTTTTTCGCCCTCATTGATCGACAGCTAATGAAATTTTAGGAAAATTCAAAAAATTTCAAGTCGATAGGATTACTAGAAGTATTTTTTTTTTTAATTGAAGTCGAAAAAAGTCTGGCCAGACCACGCCGACCGACGGAGGGTTAAAGCCACTGCCGCCGGTCGCGCTCTTGCGCACAGTTTTGCACTCATAGGGTAGGAAATTTTACGCGGGAAATAAAACAATCCTCGAGAACATTCGATCGCATTTGATTCGATCCATATTAATATATTGTCTAAGATTCGATCTACATACTCTTCTTTTATCTATGTTCTAATTTCTCATATTTGCAAATAATATTTTATTTGAGATTCTAGTGCCTAGACAATATTAAAATATGATGTAAAGGGAAGAGTCCACAAATCAGACGTGAGGGCGGTGCTTTTGGCATTCAAATTAATGGCGCAAATTTTGAAATGAAAATTAATGAACTTCAGTAATCGGGAATTTGAAACTAAATTTGGTATTACAATCGTATTATGTTTTGTAATAATACAACAATAACAAAAAATATACTAGATAATATTATATTATAATAAATATTCAATCAAATCGAAACATAAATCAACAAAAATGCTGCACGTTTAAATATTACACGATACCTAATATACTGGAATAATTTCACACTTTTTAACTTATTAATATAAACATTTAGTGAAATTTAGTGAATTATAGTGTTAGTTCATTACATCGTCAGTGATTCTTAACTCTCATTAAGGGGGTATTCTACTGCAGAGGCATGAATTTCGCCCGGTTTTTGAGGCGCTGTATAAAGGAAACAAATAATATTTTTACTATCGATTTTTTTATCATTTGTTTATTGATATTTTATTATTACATAAAAAAAATATTAAAAAAAAGTTAAAATTCACAAAGTTATGAGCAGTCAAAGTGGGGGCTCAAAAAAAGAGGGTGTCCTGGCGTGCATGATTCCAACCCTCCTGGTGATCGGAAACATAAAAAATAGGTGGATTCTTAATTATAATAGATGCCGATCGTATGAACCTTGGATAAGTTAAAAAAAATGTTTGAATGGCGGCAGTTTGGAAAAAAAAATTTTTTTTTTGATGTTTTTTCTAACAATTCCGAAATTTAAAAAAATACTAAATGAAAAGTTATAGTTTTGGATAAGGTCCACGCGATAAAGCGATATATAGAGAAGATCCTCTCTAAATTTGAAGTAAATCCGTTCATTAGAACTCGAGATATCCTTACCGCCAGCTCGAAAAAAGTAGTTCCGAGAAAAACACGTTCAAAGTTTTGAGACTCGGTCGGACCCGAACCGAGGCCACGTCACTAAAATGGCTATAACTCAGGAAATAATAGTAATTTTGAAAAATCCTTTTAATGACATATTTTTGACTAACTAAACTTTGAAAATATGAATAAAAAAATTTTATTCGATTTTTTCAAAATTCTACAGTAGAATACCCCCTTAACTAATAATCATCCCGTGCAAAATCGTACTGAACGGTGAACGGAATCGGAGAACGCGGATTTTGTTCTGAGATAATAGACCCTGTTCTAGTGTCCACTGCCCAATATATAAGAATATTTGAAAAACAAAATTTCAAGACATTTTTATTTGTTTTACAACCAATTGAGGTAATATGGGTACATAGATAAAAGAAGAGTATGGGTACTTACTTGTCATTTTTAACATCCCATAGGTGAAGTTGTAGTAATCGCAACATTCGCAACTAGTGGTTCATGGCATCATGCCTTAAGGCAAATTGCCAAAACTTCCCGTATCGCAATTAAATGTTTAAGGATTAGGAATTATAATCAATTTAAATTTTTGAAATTCTCGAAAGATGTAAAATACTTTGATATACTTTGAAAAGTGTAAACTTTTGAACTTCCCGCGGGGAAAGTATTGTTATGGTGAGCGACCAACGCGGATACCATGTAATGCTGGAACCTCCAATGACACCCCTTTCTGTGTAGAAGGTCCACAAATTTTGTAGGTTCTTTCTGCTGCTAACAAAAGCTATACAAAAGCTGGAAAACTTGATCAGTGAAACAGATATCATCGTTGATGAATTAACTCATACTGATCTTAACTCATTCTCGTCCTAACTCATACTGACCGTTTATTGCATCATTCACAAGCTTAAATACTAGCTCCCTCAGGGTGTGTTCTACATTCCTAGATAACAATGATTTACGACTTTATTTTCAACGTTTGAGTATTACAAAGTAACGACAATGGTTTTGCGGTTAGAAAGCCTTGGAAAAGTTCGTTATTTCTGAGCACGTGTTGTGCTTATCTCGAGGATACAATGTAATAGCAATGCACTAGATTCGTTGTTTGTATTATGACCGTTATATAGTAGTTTATAATATTATTTATAATTATTACAAATGGGTGGATACCACTATGATCAACCGATTTGAATAATTCAGAAAACATTCAATTTGTATTAATGAAGAGACGTGCTGATTAGTTTTTGGCAAAGACAGGCCCAGCTTTTCGAATATACGGAGCGAACGTATTTCGAGAGAACGTAGCGTCATTAGACATATGTACATCAAATTATTACATGTTTTATATAAATTTTAATAATAAGTACAAATTCTGTTTATATTTCCATGGGTTCCGTACCAATGCTTATCCGTTAGACTGCGACAAAACACATATAAAACAAAATCAAAGAAATATTTTTTATATTATCTATATTTGATACATTCACCTTACCTTCAGCAGTATTAGAAATTTTGAACCTTTTTTGGCGTAGATTCTCAAGTCGAGGGTAGAGCAATTAAGACCATGTAATCTAACCATACACAAAATTACTATAGTATAGATTTATATATATTTATTTTTGATCCATTAATTTGCAAATTCAAAACCATACTAAAATAATATTTTGATTTTTATTTTTCCGCTGGTCCGCCTGGTATACCTAAAAGATTCAATGAAAATGCTACATTATTAATGTATAGGATTTTAGTTGTTAATTTAAGCAATACATTGACACATTTAGAATAGATGTACATGTTGAGACAATTCTGATATAGACAATTCGAACACTAAATATTACAGGCTTACATTAAGTATTGATATTTATTTCATTCATATACAGCAATATGAATATATTACAAAATCTTTAATAATAAATTCAAGTTCATATTATTAAAAACTTTGTAATATTATGGAAAACTATTACAAGAAGATTGGAACTATATGCTATTTTACACAAATATTTTAAGAAGATTTTTCAGAAATTCGTGAATCACAGAGACTAATGATCTTAGTATTACATTCTTAAAACAATTCTGTAAGTATATAAAAGTGTTAAGTATACATATTTATAAATGTTTTGTTTCACTTAAATTAAAAACTAGTCATTTGCAATGGATCTATAAATGTTTTCATCGTATAACTGATATTACTTAACATTTTTAATATATTGTTTCCATTTTTATTATTTAAAATTAATAACACATACACACTTGAAATAATCAGTTAAGGTTATATGTATTTACTTATTTTGTAATTTTATAGTATTATAAATATTATGTAGACATTAAGTGTTTCATGTTTATAACAATATCCTATTTTTTAAGATAAAAAACTGTTTAGTGTCACAATAATCGCCTGATAATTGTCATTTCTAAAACATGTTCTGTTATAGTATACCATATTCGATATGTCACTATACTATTTATGAATATTTTGATTCAAACCATTTTTTTTCTTAAAAGTTAATAGAGCCATCAAGATACATACATGGCGCAAGAATAAACTGACGAAATCTTTATGTATAAACATGATTGACTGTACTTTTAAATTATAAAAATATTTATAATTCATATATGGATAACTGTGTGAATATTTTTTTATATAAGTATAATTTTAAAATTATTATTTACCTCCGAATAAAAAGCAGCCAATAGCTAGTAATGACTATAAATTTCAAAAATCAACGGAAAACATCGTGAAGAGCCATCATATAAAAAATAGAAGTTATTGACAATTATGTTTACTTCTGATATAAAAAATATATTAACAAATCTCATGTCTAAAATATCGGCAGCTTATTCTTGAACTATTAATGCAATTACTAATACTTATAATAAACAAATTAAAGTTAAAACATAAAAAATATAAAAATATAAATGGACTTATAAATATCTATTTTGTCGTTGTAAATTTATTTATTTTATTACAGTAAAATGGAGAACTTCTCATCCGAGAGAAATTTTATATTTGAATGAATTATTTTTGCCTTCAGATAATCTTTTTCAATGATACCAGCTGCATATTTCCTCATTACTTTGTCAAATAAATTGACTTCCCTGAATGAACATGTATATCCTAAAAAGCTCTTTTCATTTATATTGAACAGTGTCCATTCTAAACAAAATACAAATAGAAATTCTCCATTTTATTTACTGAAAGTCTATATAAAGTTAAATGCATAGATGTATCAACAATCGTTAATAATATTTCATAAGTAAAGACAATATAGAAATTGTTAAAGATTCCACCAAGTTGTGAAATGATTGGATAGCATCTATAAATATTAAGAAGTACAAATTAAAAACAAAATCATCAATCAACAATATATTATGTCAGTTAATAGTTTTTAATATGGTATGGTTATCTTATCTTATGGGAAGATAGTTTTCTGTAAACTTAACGAAAGTAATTTTCGGGTTTTGTGGAAGATTTTGTTTACAAGTTATTTAATACATAACCGAGTAATAACCGGCTTTAATTTATTGGCGATTTCTTCTTCCTCCTGCAAAATAGAAATAAGAAATTATTTGAGAAAATAGCAATTGTAAAAGACAACAGTAAGATTAAAAAATAAACTACTGGGGGTTGTACGGACAAAATGTTTCAATTATATTTTTTTATTTAATGATATTTCAACCCGTCTTAATCGTTTTAACTCATTTTAGATTGATTGTCTACTAGTGACATTGTTTCCCAATTAAGTAAGAACTATAATAAGAACATAATGCAACTAATTACAAAAACCATTTTGTGCATATAGTACGGACAAAATCAATATATGGTAAGAGCATATTGATATACTTACTTTAAAGAAAATAGTTCATAAATAAATCGTTTGGAGTTCATTGGGTCATCAGCACAAAACACATGAGCACAAAGTCAATAAATCATACATCGCAACCAATCTTAGCATTGATCAGAACCGGAAAAAGGTGTTTGCAATGGATGCAAGCCTCTTTTTTCATCGTTGGATCCTTTGATCTGTTTTCAGAAGTAGTTAAGGTAAAAGTTAAAAGCTAATCACCTTTCACAGGTTTCGATTTTCTACTTGGCCTCGAATGAACTACCCTGCAGTGCTTGTGAAATAGTATTAATTGTAAGTTATTTTGTCCGAAAGTGAACAAAATGAATAATTTTATGAAACGAAAAAAGACTTGACAAAACCACCTTCAAAATAAACTTTTAAAGACGCGATACACGTTTGAACTGATTACGCCGACAAGACTGTGACAATGACGCTCAACATCTGACCGGATTGTGATTATAGCTTTCTTCACATTATACAGGCGCGAATACGTTATTAAAACTAGCCAATTTTTAAAAAATGCCAATATATCATTTTATCCATATATACCATTTTGTCCGTATTTCCCCTACAATTATGTATTGTTCGGCAACGTACCATATATATTAACATATATTAAGAATTATATTTGTAAATGCAATTGACGGACCAATTGTCGCATAACAGACCAATGTTATAGCAAGGCTATGTTATGAAGAACATTTCCTACTAAATATTGACAAAAGCCATGTCGTTGCTGTGCTGTCAGGCGTATTTCTCAGATTATCTAGAAACCGCACAAATATCAAAAAAACGATCTTAGATAACAGAGTCTTTATGACACAGTTTCATAACATACGCGTAACGTTGCAGTTTATGTGTAAAACTGCCTGAATGTACTGCAAATACATGACAACTTGACAGTATTCAGTATGATTCAGTAGCATAATGCATGGAAGTTGGAGCGTAACATGGCCTTGCCATAACATTTATCTGTTATGCGGCAAAATCGGTCCCTGAATTCGTTTGTAATAACATTTTTTCACAAAATAGAAAAATTTTAATTACAAGTTATTTAATACACTAATGGTTTCTTATTGGCGATTTTTTCCCTCCTGCAAATATAAATAAGTAACTATGAGAGTTTTTCTTTGAAGAAAAACTCAGTTGATTTATGAAATAGAGGTCTATATATGGGGTAAATAAGTATATTTTATTACCACATACCATTTGACAATTTTTAGTACCATTTTGTATGAACGTACAAGCGTTAGCACTACGTAACATAGCTTTGCCATAACATTGGTCTATTTTTCGGCAGAATCGGCCCATTAGTCAAGGGCATAGATATTTTTTGTCATTTCCCGAATACCTATATTTTATTACCTTTGTTTTCTTTATTCGCTTTTGAATTTTTTTTGCCGCCGTTTTGCGCAGCACCTCCGCACCTCTTGGTAACTTGTCTGTGGGGCTGACAAGTTGGATCTCCTCCAGATTTCAAGGTGTCCGTGCGCGTCATCTGAGACATGGAATCGCACTCGCCCCACGTTCCCTTCTCGTAACGGCATGCTGAAATATTACAGATTGATAAAAAACTGCATTTCAATAGATGAAAATGAGAGTTGCTAGGTTGGAGTATAAAAGCTAGTAGTGTATGGCATTGCGCCTTAAAGAATTTGCTGGAACTTCTCGTATAGTAAGTAAACATTCGAGAAAAAAATCAATCACCAACAAAAATTTATCAATGAGTAATAAAAATTGTTTTGAATGTTTTAAAATAATTATTATAAATGCTGTAAATTCATCGTCAATGTAAACATATAGAGAAAAAAAGAGAGAATTTCTGGAATAAACGAATAAAATTGAGGATTCCACTTCCCACAAATCTGAGATTCATGTTGGTAGACACTGATGAAACGTATATGAGAAACAAGAATAATGGTATAGGGATCCAACATAGTATTGGTAAAAATTGAATGTGTGTGTGTAGGTGTGCATGTGCATTTTTATGTGTATAAATTCAAGTATGTAGTTATAGTTGTGTGAATTAGTTTAGTGAGTGGCCAATGTACTAGTCAACAAAGCCAATAAATAAATACAAAAAAAAAATTTCATCGTCGTATTTTATGTGTAAAATATAAATGCTTGCATTTCGGCGACGACCTTTATCTATGCTTATCTACTAAAACGAAAATAAAATAAATAAACCCTAATCATTTCTTCACACCGTCGATAATCTCGATGATTTTTGAATCACCTTGATCGGATGCGCCGTTTTCTCAATAACTGAAATTCTTTGCGCTTTTGGCTCCATATCTCCAAAACCGCCAAAATGTAATCAATTATCCACTCAATCAATACGAATCGAATGTTTGTTGAATCATTCAAATCAGACGGTTCGTTTTCCCAATCAAACCGGATTACCATTTTTGGGACTTTTTGCGCCTTATCTTTGAAATGGCTGGACATACATTTTTTCCTAAGATATGCCAAAATGTTCAGGAGACTTTGCAACGTAAAGATATATAAAATAAATTGTTCTCGATTCTTTTGCGATTTCTATATCTTACCCTATGCTCTAAATTAATAATGCCAATTAATAATTCAGTTAAACCAACGTTTCAAGTTATTTTGTTTACAGGTGTTTTTGATTGATGATGCCCCGTATATGTGGCTTAAAAAAATAATACGTTGGCCCCTCAAATAGTTTAAGATACCATCGTTTTCTAATTTTGCTATTGGTGTAAAATAAGATAGATCATATCTAGAAGAAAAAAATTTTTTGGGACCATAAAAAGTGAACAATCCGCTTTATGTCCAATCAGGTCGAGAGTGCCTCAAGGTAGTGTTATGGCACCTCTATTATACACCATTTACCCTGCAGGTCGCCTCTGAAAGACGACAAATTGACAGCAACATATGTAGACGATACAGAGATGATAACAACACATGAAGGTCCTGAAATTGCATAAAATATGCTGCAATTTGCTGCAATATGCTGCAGCATCTTGATTTAATTCAAGAATGATTCAGCTCTTAAAGAATTGAAGTGAACAGTGCTAAAAATAAGTCTAAACACATCACTTTTACTCTCCGGAAAGGGACATGTCCTGCAGCTAGTCTCAATGAATGAATATTTGGAAAACCTTAATAGAGCATATAAGTAAAACTTGAAGAGATAAGAAGGGGATATCACTGGCTCCTCGGACAGAAATCAAAACTTAACAGGCACACCAAATTTCACATCTACAAATCTACTATTTTTTGGTTTTATTGTAGTGTTTATTGTAGTAGATTTGACTTTGTGATTTTTGCAGCAATGCCTCAAAGTGATATTTTTTGCATGATATTATATAAGCGATTTATAATCTCAAGTGGAAATCATAATTAATGCTTGATATAAATCTGGTTATCGAACCCGGAACTGGCAAAGTTCTTACGACAAAGACTAAAATTTAACTGAAATATAGTAAAAAATAATTTTTGAACGCAATTAAAACAAAACTCGTCAAAACATGGACGAAGTTCATAACAAGCACCATATCAATACATTTGTTTAAATTCAACCATCTGTTTATCATTTGTAATTGAAACATATTTATCTATTTATTATACTTCTGCTATAAATAGAAGCAAATGTTACGTATTACGTAAGCATAATTTCCAACTAAAGTATAATAATATAAGAAATAAAAACATCGTGCTTCACTGTTTGAATCAAAAAGTTGTAATTTGAATAAGAAGTTATATGCATGTAATACATTTTAATAACTTGTATCTTATATATAGAATAAGAAAAATAATACTAAGTACTTGAATAAGAAGTTGTATTCATGTTATAAATACTAACTTATAATAACTTTTATAAAGAGATTTAGAAAATAACGGACACAAAAAGTTGGTGGACATCATTGAACTGTGATTGCAACACATTAGTAATTTTCGCTCTTTTGTGATGAAATTATTGTTAGATTTTTCCAATAGTGATATATATATATATAACAGCAATACCTCGAAATTCTTGAAATCATATTTTATCTATATTTTAAAATAAATGCTCTAAATGTAAAATGATATATAGCTGTCCGAAACAGGAATAGACCCTGCAACCCATGATTGCTAAACCAAATCTCTTATCACAAAGCCACGGAGAAAAGATCAGACGTAAAAAGTTGGTGCACACAATTGTACTGTAATTGCAACCCAGTGGTTGTCTTTTCTCTTTTGCGATGTATATATATATATATATATTTATATATATATATATATATATATATATATATATATTATTAGGGTGTTTCTTAGTATGGATGTTTTCGAATTTCTCACATACTTCGAATTTGATAAAAAAAAAATCTCTGAAAGTTTTAGCTCTTAATATAGACTTTAAGACAGTCCGCACTCCAGCCAAATATTTTTTAGTTCTTCCCAAGTATATATTTATTTTATGAAATATATCAAATTTTTGTTGTCAATTTTTTATTTATGATACAAATAAGAAATACAATGTTATTCTCAAAATTTTGATTCACTTGTCCCTAAGTTATAAAACAAATGGAGCTTTACCCATGTTATTTACATAAAAACTTTGATTGGAGTGCGGACTATTTTAAAGTCAATATTCAGAGCTAAAACTTTCAGAAATTTTTTTTTTAACAAAATGGTATATATGGAGATGGCCTTATTTAAAAATTGGCAATTTTTATTAACATTTCCTCGATTGTAGGACATGAAGAAAGCTATAATCACTATCCTGTCATAGTCTTGTCAAGGTAATCAGTTCAAAAGCGTTTTACACATTGAAAAGTTTATTTGGAGAGTGCTTTTCTCATGTTTTTGGGGGGCCTTATTCCTGATGTTTGTAATTATGTCAATTAAAATCAAAGACCTTATGGAAGTACTAGTAATTTCAATCAATTTTATTGCAATAATGAGGTTTTTTATGAAATTTTGATAGTTTTTGTTATATACATAGTGCTATTTCGTAAGAACTATAGGGCGTAGCAAGAAAATATAAAACCTCTAAAATGTTTTAACTTCTACTGTAGGTATGCAAGAAAAAATTGCTAAGAAAAAAAACCCAAAATATCCATCGGTAGAAAGAAGAGACTTGTATTGGTTGCAAAATCCTTTTTCACCCTTCTGAGTCTGGCGAAGGTTGGTTAAGATGTATAACTTATACTCTTTGGATTCATGCACCATGTAAAGGGGACCAAACGATTTATTTGTAAACTTTCTTTTAAAAAACCAAATACCCTGTAATTTTGTCCGTATTTCTCTTACCCATATACCCCCCACGAGATGTCTGAGACAGCAACTAGAATTGCAAGACCTAAGTTGTCACCGCAAATATTTAACTAAAAAGATCTTTATTCGCGACTATAAATCAACAACGAGTCGGACTGGCACTTGGACATTTCACAATTTTTATTTCAAATATCGATTCGATCGAGAAAGATATAAATGTATGCATATAACGAGTCACAGACCCGCATGCAACGGGCAACGTTCGCCATCACGTTTGCGAACTCCCCAAAGGGGCTTATTTTTAACTACGTTATTTTTTTTATTTCCTGGATATGCCATGAAATGGTACTGAACATGCAAAGCTGGCATTTTATCGTGTTCAAGAGCTACATTCAAATTGACAAAACCAACTTAAAATGGCCCATGTCCCTACAGAATTCAACGTTATTCTCATCGATGTATTTATACAAATTCTGTGTCAATAGGTGAATGTAATTCGGGCGAGATTTTATTTAAACTGGATCTATAATTCATTTTAAACATTAGCCGTATGTCGTTATTCCCATGTAAAAAGCTACCAACATAATACAGAACGATTTTGATAAAAAATATTTATTTGTCATATACATATAAAAAAATCGGGGGCACAAAGGTCCAATGTGACTTTGAGCTATTATATAACATATATCAAACAAACCATTATCTGACTATGTTCAGTAAAACTCCTAGCTAAATCAACATTGTAAAAATGGTTTTTCCTGTTTTTCAAAAATTTGTCACCTGGTCCTTTTTAACCGATAGGCGGCGTAAAATGACAGGTCAGGACAAAAATACAGGTCCAATGTACGATTACGATAATAGCAATTTACAACCAATGCAAAATATAAATTTCAATGTACATTTTTTACAGAGATAAACTGTATATAATCTTGATCTGGCATTTTGTCATAAAATGGAATAAATCAAAGTAAAATATTTTCTATACTATTATTTCCATCTTATATAATTTTCATCATGCTCAACGTGTCATTTCTCACAATTCAGAAATATATCCTCTTCGGCAGAGAACAAATATGGAAAAATCTCATCCCTTGGCTTGAGCTTTTCAATAGCCAAGATAAGTAAGTAGCTAACGTAACATTATATATGTTTTTATAGATTTTTGTCCCTCGTGAAAGGAAACGATTGGAAAAATGTTGATTTTCTTGAAAGATACTATCCTCTTTTACTATAGCATGTGAATTGAACGGATTTCAAACATTTTTCGTAATATATGAGATTTTCACGAAAGACATAAAAAAGGATGATGCTATTATTGGTCA